GGAAGGTGGTAGGTTATCATGGAGAGTTTGCAGTGCATGAGCAATGCAATGCATCATTCATGGAATTGTTCAAAATTACCTTATAAAAGCCTATAAATTTATATTCTTGACTTACTGTCCCAATAGCTGTGACCTTCATCCCAGAATAGAACATTTTTTAGCACAGGGCGTAGCTTTGCCTCACAGCAACTGTTGAGCAGTTTCAGTGCTATCCATTCAGTCCTGTCTTTCCCATGTAAGGAATACAGCCATCATAAACGTTAGAGATGGATTGCAAACGAAAGTACCTGTGTCCATAAACTGCTATGTGTTTCTTTCCTCTTGTGTGCTTATAGAAATTCATGTACATACTGTTTGTGGGTGTCCAGAGTGAGTGAGAACACTGCTGATATCCTCTGCCTTTTTGATTTTTAGGGTTTTTTCCTGCTTCCAGTCCTTCAGGAAATTGCACTGCCTAGTTGTTCTTTCATGCTTTTTTCCTTTCATAGGGAAATTGTTATCCTGTCTTATACTTTGTATTGTCCTTTAGAATACTCTAATCTTTGTTTTAAATAATTTTAATATTACATCATCCTCACCAACTCTCTTCTCTAGTTGTACTTTAAAAAAAATTGCCCTTTTATTCCTTCATAAATACATCCTACTGTGCTAAAGTATCTTGTCATTAACACCGATCTCTTGTCATATTCTTGATAATTCTTTTTCTTGATCTCTTTGTGATCGCTGTGGATGATGTAATCATTTAAAGCAATTTGCTTGGTCTGGAATATTGGTTTTGTAGACCATGAAATCAGATCTGTAAATAACTAGCTAAGTTTTATTTCTCTCCTGGGAGGTATATGAGTAGCTGGTTCTCTGCTGTCGTGCAAAGACAGAGCATGGGTTATTGCTAGAGGCAAAGAACAAACAGTATGGACAGAGAGGGAATATTGTTTCAGCCTTCTCTGTGCTGCTTTTGTGCCCGTTACCATCTCTGCAAACATCATTCAGAGCGTGGTCTCACCACTGGTTCAGCTGAGACAGCAGGCTAATTACTTGTTATTTGTTACATCGGCTCTTGTTAAAAGCAAGGAATGCCATGAGTGAGGAAAGTTTGTATAATACAGGGTATTTTGTTTTTCTCCAGGCATATCAGCTCTCGGCAGCCAGGGGACAGTGCCTCTTTCCTGAGCTTCAGCGGTACAGAAGAGTACTCTAATGGTCTGGCTGGCAGCAATGGTACAGGTAACAGCAATGGCAGAGCGTGGAGCTGGGAGAGGAGACCCATCCTTAGTAGCAGTGACAAAGCAGTAGAGTCAGAAGTCATGGAATTGGGTGGACCAGGGGTTACCAAGTAGAAAGAATCAATAATGGAAAAACCGTTTTCACCTTCAAGTGATCTGTTAATGCTCTTACTTGGACCTTTTGGTGTGTGGTATTTATTTGGATTGGTTTGTTGTTTGGGGTTTTTTGGTTTCATTTTGCTTAATGTGTCTGTAGGTATGTTTTATAAACTTTAGTGTAGGAAAAGCGCTCATTGTTGACATATGATAAGCTCTCAGGCAGTTGCTTAGTTCCGTGATAGCAAAGCACTGACATCCAGACACAAAAAATAACTAAATATGCACTGATGCTGTTCAGAACGTTTTTTTCCTAAGTGGGGTTGCCTTAAGGTGTCACCCTTTGGATTAAGAAGCTTGTTTGAAAGTATGTATTTTACATATACAAACTGATGGAAAGAATAGTTTTGGCGTATCTAGGTTTTGAGAGAAGCTGTAAAAAAGCAGGTTTATTTACATGGTAAGTTCTGGGATTCAGTGTTTTTCTAACATTTCTTGTCATGATCTACAAATGCACTCTCTCCAGATTTAAGCACTTTGAACATGTTACTCACACAGCCCCAAATATTTAATCACATTTTTGAGAGAAGACACGTGTCTGCTTTCAGTTGAAGATTAGCATTCTCTCTCTTCCCTTACCCAGACTCCTAAATTAATGGAAATTTTCAACATTTCTTTTGAATCCTGTAAGTGGAATGATGTGCCGCACTAAGCATTCTGTTGTGTTGTCTGGTTGTTGTTGGTTTGTGGTGGAGTGGGTCTTTTGTTTACTTTGGTTGGGGTTCTTGTTTGTTTGTTTGCAGCCTACCTTCTGATTTTATGGATGTGCTTTTTAGATAGGCACATGGAAGAGGATTCAGTCTTTTGGACTACAGAATTCAAGACTTCTGTTCTTTTTTTCAAAACCAATTTAAAGATTTATTTTTTTATTAAGAAAAAGCCACCTTTCTGAATTACATTTGAATGAAAACAATTATTCCCCCCCCCATTATACCATTAAGAAGTTAGCAGGCTTAATTTTCTCATGTCTCTCTTGTCTTGTGCTCATGTAGTCGGATTAAAAATGATTTTCTTCTGTGGATTTCATCTGAATGTGTTTCTTTTTTGTGCTTTACTTTTTTTATTCCTGCCTTCCAGATAGACTTTGTTTGTTCTCACAATTGCTGAGCTGCATTTCAGCTGCTAGATACAATTTGCACAGTATAGATGCAGAACATATCCTGGCAATAAACATGCTTGCATTTCATAGTCTTTTGTGCCTGTAGATTGGATATAAATCATATATGTAGTGAAAGTTAATCTGTGTTTGTCTTTATGAAAGTCGTTATGAGCACCTTCTCTGACTAAACGCCCTCAGCCATCTGTAGCTGCCACACTGTGACTCAGTGATTTGACTTATGTTTCTCCCTTATGGTTTGAGTCATCTATGAAATGAAACAGTTCTCTTTTTTTTTATTCCAAAAATACGATTTCTCAGTGGGTCTGGTTCTTCTCTGCTGCCCACAGCATGTTTCGCTGCAGTGTGGGCTTCGCCCCATCTATTTACGTTGACATTCAGTATGTTGTCTCTGTTGTCCAGCAGATGGTAGATGATAGTTCAGAGCAAATAAATCTTGTTGCAATTCCCTAACTAGATGGCAGATGGCATCACTTGGTGAAAGATGACTGCCGGTTTGAGCCGGCTCCTCTACTGTTTTACTGGCATCATCATGGGAGCAGATAGCCATTAGTAAATGCTGGTTAGGGTAACAGCTGTGATGTTGATATCAATATCCTGGAGAAGTCTACATAAGCTAGTTTTATAAGAATGGCTCCTTTTAAATGCTTGAAGGCTTCCTGAAATTTGTATTTTGAGAAATGCCTTTTAAGCCAGCGATTTTTATTACCTCCTTAGCTGCTTATTTCCTCTTGTGTCACCGCAGCTGCTTATACAGCGACATGGTGAACAGGCTCAGAGATCTGATCCAAATGCAGAGTAACTGGGGTTATTCTGTGCTGTATGGATTGTTTCACTGTAACTACACAAACATTGGTGCAAATACAGCAGCAGTTGTGAAATGGGGACTAGGAAGAACTAGTCAAGGGGTGCTATAGCATCATGTTGGCTTAGTGTTCACTCAGCTGTAGTATTTGTTTTCCAGGTTAATGGGCTGTCGTAGAACTAATCTGTTTGACAGTGAGAAAAATCAATGTCTCAAATCCTAATTAAAACTGAAATATAAATTTGCATTAGTCTTAAGACCCTTTTAGTCTTCATTTAGGTTAGTATAAACTGAATTTTGCTCAAAAACTGAGCCTCTCTTGAATAGCTATCCTTTTATCTCCTTTAACAACAAATAAAAACTTAATTACTATTCTTTCTTAGTGAAGTATAGACCAAGGTGTATCTTACAGGTTGCATCATAATGGAAATTACTGGTTGTTTTAAACACTGTAATTAATATATTGGACCTATTTAGGGGCACTGAAGGCTTAATTAATATTTTTGAATTTTTAAGCCTGGCAAAGGATAAAAAGGTAGCTTTTTATTTGCTGAACCAAGAGGATGAGCTGTTTGTTTTGTTCCCTCCCTGCTTCCTGGCAGAGAGGTGAAATGTGCACTGACAGTTTCTGCCTAAAAGTGTTGGAGTTGGAGTAAATCTGTATCATGATTTTCATAAATCAAGTGGACTCTTTAGAGTCTTAGATAATTGGAATCTGATATATGGGTTCTCCCACCATCTGAAAGTCTGTGATAAATTCCTTTCCTGCTGCTCCTTTGTCTTATGAAATTCTTCCTCTTATTCTTTGTTCATAAAATGAGAAAGCCAATTAAAAAGATGCTGCTTTTGAGTACCAAATGTATTTAAAAGTACTTAGCTGCTGAGACCTTGAAATCAGCAAGCTAAGTGATTACAAGTGACTCTTCTTTTTTTGTTACTTACTTTTTTGTGGCATTTACTTCTCAAGATGTGTTTCATCATTTCGGGGAGGTTGTTTTTTCTTGTTTTTTAGCTACTGAACTCCTCTAGGAGATGTTAGAATTTCACCCAAGGTGTTTGTTTTTTTTTCTCCTTAGTTGGCTTTGTGTATTTTTCTGTGTATAGTTGCTCACAATAAGATACGTATTTCTTTCTTGCAGGGATGAACCTTAAAACTCAGAACAAGGATTCCTTGGAAGATAGTGTCTCTAACTCTCCAGATCCAAGTAAGCAGGAGAAAGGTTTGGAAAAGAGTTTGCATAGGTGGGAAGATAAGGAGGGAAAGGACATGTACATATATAGAGACATCAGGAGGTGGTAGGCAAGAAACTGAGGGGCCCGCTGGGCTTATGGCAGTGGTTTATTTTGCCCTGTAGTGAGTTGCAGGATCTCCCTGTACTGTGTGGCTCACACGTCTCTGTGTCCTGAGAATATGTGACTGGTTGTCACATTATCTCTGAAATTCTTTCCTTACCAGACACTATTATACAAAAACCTAAAGCCACTGAACTCTTATCTGCCTCTCAGTATGAAAAGTGTGCTTGACCCCAGCTAATTGAAGCAGAGGTAGTACAGTCAGTTTCTGAATTTGGTACTGTTTGCTGAGAAATACCTGTCTGCATCTCATACAGAAACAAGTGTGTGACTGCATAAGAAAACACTTTCATTATAGTGGTCTGTCCTGTATTACTACTTGTGCAATGTTTCTGCCATTAATGTTAACATTTTAAATAGTAAAATAACTTTGTAAGATCTCTATAACAAGAAGTTTTGAATTAGTAGTTGGCAAAGTACCTTGATGTTGGTTGTTTGAGGCAGGGTAGAATGTAGTGCAGTAGTGAACTGATGATTTAATATAACTTAGTTAGCTTTTGTTTTTTAATGTCTAGTTTTAGATATCTGTAATCTGAAAAGTGCAGCATAGCTCTAGGAAAGGGTGTGGGGAAGGATTGCTTTCCAAGTTACTATTTTTCTGGTCTTCCCACCCCTCTGGATCTGTCTTCTGTTTTTATAACTGTAGAAATACTCCCTTTTCTGCTGTGGTACTATTCCAGAAAGAGACTGGTCTGTCATTCTTTCTCTCCTCATCCCCAGCTCCTTCTGCAGTTGTCTAGGATGCAAAGCTGGTCTGATTTTCTTGTTCAGACTCGGAATGTTGATCTGTTTTATTAATAATGAGTAACTGCACCCGACTTGCTGTAATTTTGGAAGAAAAAAGGTGGCTATGTCAGCTCTAGCTTTCAATCAACAGAAAATTAAATGTATTAACTTTGAATGCCATTTGCATGATGGGATTGAATTAGCATGTGCACTGCATTGTTTAACAAACTCTGTCTCTTTCTCTCCCTCCCTTCTTCCCGTCCTTTCCTTTTCCCTTCCCATCCCACCCCTTTTTTGTCCCTGTTGACTTTACGCCAACTCTGTTTTTGTCCCTCATTCTTTCTAACTTTCCTCTTCACACATTTCTTTCATTTTCCCCTGCACCCTATTTTTTTCATGGGTGACCATAAATGCCCCCATTGTCTGCCCCCTCCAATGATACAACGAGGCAGTTCTGACGCTGTCTGCTCCCCCCGTAGTGCCAGGCTTCTGTTGTACAGTTGGAGTGGACTGGAAGTCTCTCACTACTCCGGCGTGTCTCCCTCTTACCACGGACTACTTCCCCGACCGTCAGAGCCTGCAGAACGATTACACTGAGGGTTGCTATGATCTCCTCCCAGAAGCTGACATTGACAGGTTTGGCAGCACCTTTTCTGTAAAGTGACTTGCACTCAGTCCAAGTGCTTAAAGCGCAGCCTTGATGCAAGAAGAACACTTTGGAGACTGTATGAGAGAGATTAATTGCTAACATAGCAGAATACTTAGATTTTTCTCTTTTCAGTGGTAACTTTGCACCTTTTCTGGTGTTACCATCTGACAGTATTGTGTTCTGTAGATTTTATGTTAGAAATTTTGTGTACAGAATTTTACGTCTCTTCTGCCGTGTCTCAATCAAAAAAACCAACCTCAAGCTATCATTTTCATTAACCTATTTTACAGCAAGTATTTTGGAAACAGTGAGCAAATGGATGTGTATGCAAGGGTTTAATGTGCTTATCCTCACTTTCAGGGATGTTTAGTTTAAAGAATTATGGTGGAAAATAGTGTTAGTGGGATAAGTAGAACTTTACAGCTTGTCTCAGAGGTCTCTGGTAACTATTCTTTAATAGGGTTGGTTTGTTCTCTTTTCTGAAGCTGTCTCATCTTAAACACTTTTTGAACTTTACACAACTTGTAAGACACAGAAAGACCTGTTTATGTTGCTGCTTTATGGGAACAAAAATATTAGTCAAGGTGATTGAAGTACGTAGGAAACAGCAAGATTAGGGAAGAAACGCCTACAGGAAATGTCAAGTGTCTCTTTACAGTAGGAAGGTGAAGTTTGGAGCAGAAGTAGTTGTAATAAGATGCCATAGTGATGTGTCTTTTAATCTTTCTCTGCTCTAGACTTTCCACTGTGGGAGAGGGTGGAGCATTGCCTGCACAGTTGCAATTCTGAGCTCTGCTGAACGTTTACAAACTGCACTGAGAGTCTCTGCAAAATGCTGTAAAAGTGATCACTGGTGAATTTGTTGGAAGTTTATCAACTGTTGTAAGCAAATGTATTACTAGTTGCAGAAATGCTTTCAAAGGCATTAATAAGTATTGCAAGACAGCTAATCATCACCTGTTTACAATAGAAAGGTACCTGTTTTTCTCTTGTGTTCCTGTAGGTTGGTTTTCGCAGGCAGAAGGCTTCACTTTCACAGAGCCCAGTGCAGGCATAAATCCTCAATTAGGAGATGCAGAGCTAAGAATAGGTGTGTGGTCAGCTTCCTTATTGTAGTCTCCTTAACCTTTGTGTTCAGGAGGGATGAGGAAGGAATGCAGATGACAGCCCAACAGGTGTTTGAGGAGTTTATTTGTCAGCGTCTCATGCAAGGCTATCAAATTATTGTGCAATCCAAACCACAGAAACCAGCCACAACTGTGCCACCCCCACTCAGCAGCAGTCCCCTTTACAGTCGAGGTGAGTGTCTTCACGTTGACAATTCAGTCTTTGTCTTTCTTTCTTTCTGCCAGTCCCAGTAACCTCTATGAATTGAGCATAGATGCTCATTGAAGCCCTCTGTTCTGTTTTTTTTAATCTTTCCTGTTGTTGTTGTTGTTGTTGTTGTTGTTTTTGTTATATTAAAATCTTTCCTGGGACAGAGCCTGATCTGGAGCAGCACAAACAACTCAGCTGCACTGTGAAGGGACAGGTGCAGGATTTTTGAACTGGAATAAGAAGTTGGCCTTATATTCATGATGGTGAACACAAATGAAATATGGCTTGAGTGCTGTTTGGGTGAATACGTCTTATACACAATTCACATGGTGACTGTAGGGCAGGCACATCTCTCTTGAAGGCAGACCCAATGTTCTCAAATGTACTTATCTAGAAGAAGTTTCCGATCTCTAAACTAGCTGTGAGGTCTCAGGTTGACAGGTCAAGCTTTGTTGTACTGAAACAATGAGTCAGCTAAACCCCAGAGGAGTAGGTTAAGAGGGTATCGTATCCTTTTGAGAGAATCTGACTGTTTGACTTCTTACTTTTTTTCTGGATATTCTTTTAGAAAAGTCCTTTGGTAAAGTGCTGAGCTTAAGTGTTTAGTTCCAGGAATGAAGCACAGAGAGGAAGTGAAAGTAGAGCCCAGCTTTACCATCGTACCCACCAGTTTCTAAACAATTCATTGTCTGTTCTTTAGTTGTCCTGACTGGAGAAGATCTGTGTTGGTGGTGTATGAGCTGTGAATGCCTTTCTTCGGTTGTGATACTAGCAAATCTTAACTGTAAGAACAAAAGGCTAACTGTACATATTTTCCTTGAAAAAGTGCCCTGAAAGACGAGTTTTCATTTGTCTTGAGTTCAGAAGCCCAATTGTGGAGTCTATAGGTACAGTTTGTTGACACAAGTTCTGGCTGTTGCAGTAAGCTGAAAGGGGGTGTGTTTTGCTCTTTATAATCAGGTCTTGTATCAAGAAATCGACCCGAGGAAGAAGATCAGTACTGGCTGAGTATGGGCCGTACTTTCCACAAAGTAACGTTAAAAGACAAGATAATTACTGTGACTCGATACCTGCCAAAGTGAGTACCTCTCTGGTTGAGCAGTCTGCTCAGATGAACGTGCTTATCCATCTGTCTGTACTTGCTTGAAAGAACATCCTGTAGAACCCTCTTTCTCTTTAGGAGAGGAAGAGAAGCATTGATGATGCTGAGATTAATGTTTACATTTTCTTTTTTTAGGTACCCATATGAATCTGCTCAGATAAACTACACCTACAGCTTGTGTCCCTCGCACTCTGACTCTGAATTTGTCTCTTGCTGGGTAGAGTTTTCCCATGAGAGACTAGAAGAGTACAAGTGGAATTACTTAGATCAGTATATCTGCTCTGCTGGCTCTGAGGATTTCAGGCAAGATCTCCTTTTCCATCCAGACTGTTCTGTGTCCTAATTGCCTCTTTTCCTTTTTGACCTAAAATTTTTTCCACAAGTTCAACCCACGAATGCTCAGTACTCCAGTGAGAGTAGTTGGCCTGCTTTCACTTGTGTGGTGCTAGCAGCTGCTGCCTTGTAGGAATCTTACTCAGTGTTGCTGTTGCATTATCTGATCTTTGATGTGAAGTCTTGATCACAAGATACAGCGTGAACTATTCTTTTTTCCTCTGCTAAAAACGCAAAGAAATGTGATGGCATTTTGTACCACACAGATACTTTTCTTGGCTTCTTACTCATTTCTGGATCTGATTCAAAACTTCCATTTAGTTTGAATCTGTTGGAGGCTTGCTGGAGTCCTAGGATTAGCTTGACTGTAGCCCTGCTCCTGAAATATGTAGAGCAGGGCTTCTTACTAGCAATGTGGAATATCTCCACTAGCATCAATTGCCATTTTGATACCTTCTCTCAACAAAACCAGTCTTTCTTTATCTTTGTCTCTTTTCAGATCTCAATCAAAATGCCTCCTACTTCAATGTGTACCTTTAACATTCTTTTTTATTAGCTTATTTTAGCCTTTTACAGAAAAGATAATATGTAATACAATTACTCTGAAGACAGCCTTGTTTTCTCTTCTGTATATCAGTGTTTTAATTCTTCCCAGTAATATTCATGTTGCTGACAATTCCTTTGCATATCTGCTCTTTCTCACTCAGGGATAGCAGAATGAGGTTGTCCCTATACTTGCTGAAATTTACAGCAGATAGATATCTATTTTCCTTACTGTAAGATCTTTCTTGGGAAACTCTGCTGAACTCTTCTGTCTTCCATGTTTCTTCAGCCTTATTGAATCACTGAAGTTTTGGAGGACCCGCTTTCTGCTTCTGCCTGCCTGCATCAGTGCCACAAAGCGCATTATGGAAGGAGAAGTCCACTGTGATGTGTACGGTGACAAGCCCCGTTCTGATGAGGAGGAGTGGCAGCTCCTAGATGGATTCATTCGATTTGTGGAGGGTTTGAACCGCATTCGTCGACGCCATCGATCTGATCGAATGATTCGAGTGAGTCAGCTTTTAGTTGGGTGAGAAGCTGAGTTTGAGTTTCATCTGAACCTAATGAAGCATTAGCAGAGAGACCATGAGACAGTGCCAGGCAAATTGGGGAGTACCTGTGTGTGTATGTGTGAGTAATCCGTCTGTAAAGCGCAGTTTGGCTGATGTTCTATTTCAGATTTCAAATATTTCAAATATTATGGCCTTGTTAACACCTTGCTACTGAACTAATTAATTTTACCAGGAGTTGGTATCCCATGCTGCTGTGATTGGAACCAGAATGAGAACAGTTTGCCCACTCAATGAGAAGCCAGGCTCTTCAGCATAGCGTAGCCATACCTTAGCCTGTTGGTGCTGTATTTTTGCTCAGCTGGTCTTCTCTTACCACAAGCCTGATGCTACCTCTTTGCAAATGTGCATTCCTTTGTGATGTAGATATGGTTAGCCTGTATATGTTATTGCACCTTGTGAAGGAGATAATTGATAAAAAGAGATCAGTGAGGTAGCTAAGCTGATGACTTCTAGCTGAGTTGGCTGTGTGCTGCAGACTTGGATTGTGAAAAGAGAACCCTATGGGTGAATTCCTGGTGAACAGTAGTTTCCAGAGGGTGATGAGAAACTGGTTAATGTGTATTAAATTCTCTTCTAGTTCACACACTGAATGGGGTAACTTATTTCAGAGAAAATCCACCTTTTCCAAAATAACATCCATGTTATTTTGAGAATAGCATGCACACAGGACACTAGGCTGTTCCATCTCTTGTGTACCTATGGTTTAACTCCCTTTTTAAGGTGTACCTAATAAAGTCCTGCTGACATGTTCTTACTTACTAGTTACGCCTATCCTGACTAAGCCTGTGCTTTCATTTTTTCTTTGTTAGAAAGGATCTGCCATGAAAGGCTTGCAGATTTCTGGACCAATTCCCACCCACTCTCTGGAGCAGCCTGGGCCTCCCATTGGAAAGAAAGGAACCTCAGCGCTCTCAGCTCTGCTGCAGATGGAAGCCAGTCAGAAGTGAGTCTGCAGCTAGCCTGTGTGAAGAGCACTAAAACATCCTTCCTGTGTTACACCTGGGCTAAAGAAAATGTGGGGAACTTAGCCTTGAAAAAAGGGATTTGGGATCCTGCCGCTTTAGTATCCTTGCAGTAGGGCTGGGGAGATACTGGGCTTTTCCAGTGACTTGCTTGTATTATGTTTCTATTCATAGAATGAGTACCAAAGGCTAGAAAGGAGCATGGAGACCAGAGAAGTGAATGTCCAGGAATTTAGAAGCAGCATCTTTGAAGTAGCATCTCAGTCCATTACACATCAAATTTTTACTCTATTTGTGATTTGCCAGTACAGTTGTATTCACATAAGAGCTTAACTGGGACATAAGTGTACACAAGTACACCACACCAGTTCAGTGGTCTCAGTATAAACGTTGGATAACAAATATAGCTCAAAGAAAATAGCTTGTTTGCACTGATAACTTTGTTAACATACCTGTGAAACTTCTTTTTCAGTATTGATCTAGAATGGTTCAGAGAAACTCGGAATACTGATACCAGATACACTGTAAACACCATTTAAAATTGCTGTTAAATAGATGAGATTTTAATTTTTTTAATAAGGTAGTATTACACATGCATAATGGAACTGAGTAAGTTCAAGAGTCAGTGCTGTTTGTATGGGGTAAAAAGTACTTACAGAGCTTTGGATTGACTCTGTGCTTCACAGTGTGGGAAGGCAAATGTCTGAATACAGTAGTACCCCTCTGCAACAGCTGCCTTCAGGTGGAAGCTGGCACAGAATATGTTTGGATGAAGTCTGGATTCATTTCTTTTCTTTTAGGACGCTGGGGGAGCAGCAGGCAGCAATGCTTTCTGGAAAGAGCTCTGTGCAGCCCTCAGAAAGTGGGAGCATTGCTATCACACCCACCTATATGGACAGCCCTCGAAAGGTAAAGACTTTCTGGTCTGTCTTTAGCTACTGTTTTTAAATAAGAATTCCTCCCTGGTCTGGTAGGAGGTGTCCTGCCCATGGCAGGGGTTGGACTGGATGAGCTTTAAGGTTCCTTCCAACACAAACCATTCTATGATTCTGTTATTCTAGGATTATTTCTGTAAACACATGGCTATGTTTTACTGCATCTTACTCTCTAATCCAGCAAGGACTGGTCCTGTACTGGGGATGCCCTTAACCCTTTGTGTGCAAGAGCATAAGAAGAGGTTGGGGCACAACCATCCTTTAATTCTTTAACACTGTGACAGTGAGATGGAATCCCTGGGATGCTGTCTCAGTGTGTTTTGCTAATTTAAGTGGTATTTGTTTATTATTCCATTTCCTTTCCCAGTAGCGCATTTCATTTCAGTCAGGGTTTGATTTTTAGATTTAGTAGTACAGTCCTGTCTGCATTTGTATATGAAGGCTGTCTTTAAGGGCAAAATCAAGCCTGAGACCATGACTGTGTGAAGCTTCAGTGGAATTTTAACAGCAGGAACTCCAGTCACTTACTTACATCTGCTTAGAGGGGAGGATGTGTTCCTGAGTAGTGATTTAGGTGACATTCCTTCACTGGCTGGACTCCAGGCTGGAGAAAACTCTCTTTCTGAAGCTCTCTTCAGACACTTAAAGACTGTGCTGTCCCTCAGCCTTCCTGTCAACTGTCCTGTGAGTGCCAGGAGAGCAGAAACTCCACCTCCAAGTCCAGCCAGAAATATCTGATTATTTTTCCGGGTTCTGACATGAAGGTCTGTCAGAAGTGACAAGGAACTGAACAAAGATAAAACACTCAAGCGTGACCTCTCTTTGGGTTCAACAGTCAAAATACCGCGAAGAAGAAGTTCTCAACTTAAACATTCAGTGTTTTTCTCTCAGCACCTAATGTTTCAACATCCGCCCTTTTCTGCCACCTCCAGTGGCAAGTGTTGCGTTATTCTGGAGACCTGGATATTGATAGTTGAAGTGATAAAGTACCTGCAATCATCGTAGTAACAGACACTTATTTGTAGAATGAGTGTGTTTCCAAAACACAGATGAAATTCTGGAGCAGGTCATGCTAAGCTTGGAGAAAGTAGGTGCAGAAGTTGACTTGAGGCACGTTTGCAAACTTCCAGATCATAATTTAGGCTTTGAATTCTCCTCTTCTACTATTTTGGAAAATGACCTTCATCAGACTTCCCTCTTTAAATATATAAAATGTAACTATCTCTGTCGACCAGTAAAACTAGTGAAAATTCGGGGTAGAACGCAGGACAGAAGAGTGCTTTTGCCTGTTCTGCACAGCACAAGGGAAAAGGCAAAACTGGCTTCAGTAGCAATGGCACACTGGTGTGTTGGAAACAAAGTAGCAGACTGTGTGCTACCAGCAAATCTAATAAGCAAATGCAATCTTAAGTAGCTTTAAAAGTAGCTATATTCAAAAGTCTCCCTGGAGAGTTAATAGGGGAATCTAGAAGAATGTGTTACCAGTTGAAAGCCTTTCACACCACAGCAGTAAACACCCCTGTAAATATTTACACACAGGGAATGGGAGAGAAGCAGTTAGGATCTCCAAAAGTAATGGCACACACTTGTTGGAAAGGTGCTGGTGGACAGGTAGCTTTATCAGGCAACTTTGTGCTGCTTGGAAACACGGCAAGTGTGTGCCTCCTGTTTCCCAGACAACGCAACCCCTTAGGGCTCACCAGCATGGGTATGGCTATTGGCTGGCTGGAGACTTGCAGCCAAAGCACTGACAAATTGTCACAGCTGTGTGCTCTGTCAGCAGCCAAGGGAGCAAGTGCTTTTCTAGGATGCTATTCAGTACTGGAGTTAATCCAAAACAAAACTTAGCCACTGGCTCCACCTTCCCTCTGTTTCAGAGTAGAACTGACAAGTCACTTCAGGCAGTTACTGGGCAGTACAGTGTGGTTTTTAACACAGTGAGTTAGCTTGATGCTTAAGCTGTTTGGGAAATCTTTGCCCTTATGGATACAGGGTGTGTGGCTCTGCATCTGCACTGCATATATTACCAGCCATATAGCTCTGGCATCGATTCTTTGCAGAAAATGTTTTATATGTACATACCAGGGTAAGTATCACGTTAACTGCAGGCTAGACAAAATATTTTGCCTAGGGAACAGAATAAAGAATTGCAAATAGGTAATGAAGATATAGTTGAGTTTCCACTGCATTGTCTTGTGTGATAAGAGAATCTTGTCACATCTTTGAATAGCAGCCGGGGATAAATTCATCCAGGGTTTGCAAGTAGGCGGGGAACATGGCGCAGGCAGCGTCTGTTTAATTTTGCATGAAGTATTAAACACAGTGTTGGAAAGATCTTTGTGATGAATTTTTCTTCCCTTTTCTTTGCACCATACCAGACCTGCATTTGACATGAAGAGTGTGCTTCCCGAAAAGAGCTTATTTGTCTCTCTCTATCATTTGAATGACTGACAGACTAGGGAAAAAAAAAGCTATCCTTCTTTTGGGTATTTGCCATTATGCATGCAGTTTTACAGGTTTCTGTATCACTGTTCAGCTTTGCATTTCAGCTGAAAACCCATGTACGTTAGAGCTCAAGTCTTTGTCTTGTGAAGTGTGGAGGGAAGGTGGTTGTTTCAATTGGCTTCTGATCAGTGTGGTTTTCAAAACTTGAAAAGTGTCTGTGCTAAGGAAGAGCAATGTCTTGTTACAGAGAGAGAAAGTAAGGGTATGTGCGTGAGTGACTCCTGATGCTCTGCATTCTGCTGCATCTGATGTTCTGGGTCTGTTTGAGATTTGCAGTCCCCCCATACTTTCTCTCTGTGGTCATTTCATACTTGCACAATCTTGTATTTGCATCTCTTCAACTTCTTGTTCCTGTTGCCATTAATGGACCTACTTCCTCTGATGCCTTCAGGATGGGTCCTTCTTTATGGATTTTGTTCGCAGCCCGCGTACAGCTTCAGCCTTCTACTCACAGGTTAGTTTTGAATGGGGTTTTATCATCTCTGGCTTTCAGGCTGAGGAGACAGAGAGCATTTGTTGTCCTGAGCTTGCCACGTGGGGCCCCTGTGTTAGTTTCCAGGTGTGCTCAGTGAGAGGGAGACGTGCAGCATTAGCAGGACCAAGTGACTGGCGGTGGTGGCAGATGCAACTACTTCCTTCCACCATGCAGTGTTTGTGATGTGCTTTGGATGTTCATGTGCCCTGCCTTACTGTCCTTTGCAGTACTGTTTTGTCAACTACTGAAGCTTCTCTTTGTGTCTCAGTAAGTACTCATTTTCCATCTTCCCTGATAAACAAAATGGCAACAGCTTACTCATCTCATCCTTGGCTACATTTCTTCTGTGGTATTTGACTGACAAGTGGCTCTGGGGACATCCAAGTCAAATTGTGTTCTTGGATTCTTTAACAACTGAGGGCTAAAACCGTTGGTTTCATCTTGGTTTAAAAGATTAGTCGTGACAGAAGTTTTTTGTACACTTAACACCAGTTAGGAGTTAGCAGTAACACGGTGTGTCCATGAAAAATACTGCTGGTTGGAGTGAGCTCTGAGGAGGCAGAGTGGGTTTAGCTGGCTGTGGGGACTGTAGGTTCCACGTTTGAGCATCTGCCATTTCTGGCTACCCAAAAAGGGGCCATATGCCATTACAGAGTGAGAGATCTCTGGGACAAATGGCATGAATAAAGGACTTTGGTCTCAGTATCAGACCTAAGTCAAACTACCAGGTTTGCGATTTTCAGTTGTGCGTGTGCTGTGAATTCATCATGGCAGATCAGCTCTCGTATTTACACCAGCTTGAGTTACTCTGCCGTTCGTGTTCCTCTCCCCCACCTCTCTAGCTTTTATATAATCTGCTTTTCCTAAACCATACGTGTTAATGACAGATGGCAATTACAGCCTGTACTTTGCTGGATCTTTCAGCATTCATGTTCTTTCTGAAATGATTTAATGTTAATTTGTGAACTATTCAGTCTACTGTTGGGAGTATTGCAAGTGTTCCTGCGGGAGGAAAGTGTTCTTGTTGTCTTGGCGACATAGGTGTGGGTGGGTGCCAACCAGCCTCCTGATACTACCCTAAGAAAGGAAGGAACATGAGCTGATTTTGTGCATTATGAAACTTGAAATCCATGTGATACATTTGCGTATCTGAGAGTCAGAGTTGAGACTGTTTTTTCTAATTTCTTACTACTTTCCCATAGTGATTAAGTTTCCTTGTGCTATCCATTGCATGTTTATAACCACAGTTATTCACTCAAGTTGAAAATGTCAGGTTGGGACTGGTATTGCTGGTTTGCCAACAGTTCTGTCAAAACGGTTGTTGCTGGGCTGGTGATCCTCATCTTTACTGGGGTCTGAATTTTGTGAATTCTGCATATGTTTGTGCTTGCCTTATATTGTTGCTTGTTGTTAACTAACTTGAGCTGAGGCACAGATGATGTGGGGAGGGAAGAAAATGGGAAATTCATTACATCATACAGTTCATAAATATGTTGCTGTATTCACTCCTTGCAGGTGTCTATAGATCAGTCTGTTTCTGCAACCTCCGATGGCAACACACTGATAAACACAGGGCAGTTACCTGATAGGGGCAACGCACAGACCCTGGGAAGTTCCCAGAATGTTGCAGACCAAGGATATAGCACAGCTGGTGCTGCAGAAGGCAGGTAAGAAAAGCACAGCAGTGCTGTACTGCAGCTCTGTTCAGTTACATTCCCCTTTCTGGTGTCAAGGAGTGGACACTTAAACAGGAACCTGAGAACAAGATGTGCTGTGTCTGTCAGCACCAGAAGGCACTTGTCACAAGACCTTACTGCAGCATTTCCACGTGCAGAAGGAGTGATAGGAGTAAGCCTTGCAACCCAGTTTTCCAGAATTAAATGAACACAAGGCCTGATTTCCCCACCCACAAAAAGAATTTCATCCTTCAAGAAATGAAGAACGACAAAATTCTGTTTCTGAAGTCCGCTAGCAGAAAAACAGGCTTTGAATTGACATCTGTCTTCTGTCTGTTTTAGCAAAGGGAGGCCCTGCAAGTCTAATTGGATCAAGCAGGTTGATGAAATCCAAGAGGTTCTAACCTGGAGGAGAGACACCGGGGAGGAAACAGCGTTAGAAATAAACTATATTAGCACCTGTTTCCTGCAGTTGTGTATTACAGATTTTATTTAAAAAGAAAAAAAAAAGCCAACTTCAAAATGTTTGCTCTCAATTGCTCTCGAGTACGTCTGTATGTAATATAGTGTGCATCGGGTCAATATAACGACGACCTGACAACCTCGGGGGGAAATATGGGTCTGATGCTTTTAGTTGTCATTCTTTAGATGAAAAAGGAAATAAATGTGTCAAAGTAATTGTTTGGAAGAGGAGAGAACATTTTTCTCATGTACATATTTGAATAGATCTGGCAGCTTCCTGGATTTTTGAACATGCTTCTGTTTACTTCCCAGCTCTCAGCAGTGTTCAGCAAACTCTCTGACTTCCTCCTCCACCTTGATAGAAATTCTTGAAGCCATGAAACACCCCACGTAAGTTTTTAATATAAATATGCTTAGCATCTGCCTAGATGTTTTGTAAGAGGACGTGAGGCATGGGCTTACTCAAAGGAGAGCCCCATGTCAGCTGTGGAAGAAATTTAAGCTTCCTTTTGTTACTCAGTTCCAATCTCTCTAACAAGGAATTTTATAGAAATTAAGGTACAAGTATTGCTGCAGAGACTTCAGTTAGTAGAATCCCAAAATCTTGTCAAAGCAAGAATTCTCAGTAAGACATTAAAGTGCTGTCAATGTCAGCTCTTCATCTTGTCATCAGAAACTAATGATATGTCACTCTGGGGGCACTGTGCGTTTCTTGTCCTGTATCTTTATCCCCCCTGCTTTTTTTTTTCTCCCCCAGCAGTGATTTTTGTCTATGCAACTTAACAGAGCTGTCAGTCGATCCATGTTAACACGTGTGATTGCTGTGATTCAGCACAGGGGTCCAGCTGCTCTCTGAACAGAAGGGCCTCTCTCCGTACTGTTTCATCAGTGCAGAAGTTGTGCACTGGCTGGTGAATAATGTGGAAGGTGTGCAAACCCAAGCCATGGCCATTGACATCATGCAGGTGAGAGAACTATCAAGTGGTGTGTGGAGGGCCAGAAATACCTCACTCTCTGAAGAAAGCAGAATTGTAGAGAAAAGCGTAGCAATCATTTGTTCCTTACTAAATCCTCTTATTGATAAGTATTGAAAACAGAATATGAGGCGACGATGACATTTCTTGGGATTCTCTATCACAAAACAGCAGCATATTCTTCAGTTGTAATATCTGTTATTTTTTCCACTTACATATGATGACAGTTCTGTGTATAACCTCCCATTAGCTAGTAGTTACCGAGAGCTCTCCCTCGTGTTAGAATTATGAGGCACTACTGTGTGATTTGGTTTTGGTTTTAGGTTTTTTTTCTGATAATTAGTTAATGGAGTTGTAGTAAAACCAGCATAAGACCTTTTTTTTTATGGATGCTGAAGTATACACACTCCATGCAAGATGCACTGCTTGTGTTCATGAATTTTTTTCCTTCCCTATCGAACTGTGTCAGGGGCAGAAGGTTGGAAATGTTTTGGTGCTCTTTCCTCTGCTGAGGTCCCATATCAATTAACAGAGAACCTAGAATGTTTCCAATCTCTTACCTTCCTGTAAAAGGAGGTAAGAGATCCATCTGTAAAACCAGAGCAGGGTAAGGGAGGAAGGCAGACATCTGTGGAAAGGTCAAACGCAATTTCTCAGAGAGGTAAGGAATTGCCACATTTACCGAATATCCAGAGATAACACTGCTGATATTCTTGTTATGCACATATCTGGACAAAAAAGATGTCAAGAAAATGATTTCCTAATGTTTTTTAGCAACCTTTTTATGTAACTGGAAGAGTGACTTCTTTTTTTATACTGTTTGCTCTGTTCTCTTTCTTTTGTTCAGAAAATGCTAGAAGAGCAGCTTATTGTCCATGCCTCTGGAGAAGCTTTACGAACCTTTATTTATGGCTTTTATTTTTACAAGATTGTTGTGGACAAAGAACCAGACCGAGGTCAGCATCGCGTTATTACAAGACTTTCCTCATTATCCCTTTGCATAGTCACTACTGCACTTGATTCTTATGGGTGCTGCAGCAGAAATGCATTTTAGGAGCAACAAAAAACACGGCTCTAAAGAGAGTCAAAGAAATTTGGCCTTTTTGGTAAAAGCAAAAAACAATTGCAGACAACATAACCTATTTTTTTCCTTCCTCTTTTTCAGAAAGAACTACAATTCTTTCTTGGTCTTGAATGCTTGTTTCTAACTGTCCATCCCCTTGCTTTTTCTTCAGTGGGCATGCAGCAGCCTGCCATGTGGCACACAGCTGCCATGGATGACTTCTCTGCCTTCCAGAGGAAATGGTTTGAGGTGGCGTTCGTGGCAGAAGAGCTCCTGCATTCGGATATCCCAGCGTTCTTCCTGCCCTGGCTGCCCAGCCGCCCAGCCTCCTATGCAAGTAGGCACAGTTCCTTTAGCCGCAGTTTCGGAGGACGGAGCCAGGCAGCTGCACTATTAGGTAGATGCACAGCACAGGTGACAGCTGGGGAAGTTCAAGGGGATAGTTTGAAAGGGGAAGAGCAGCCAGCCAAGGGTATGATCTCACGTGGACCAGCAATAAAGCTGCAAATTTCATGCTGGCCTTACATGTGTCTTGCACGTGGACTTGTTTCGTATGCTGGAGGTGTGTTTCACTGGCCTAGCAGGCAATTTTTGCTTCTGAGTACTGGAATACAGTAAAAAGTGTTCTTTAAATATTCCGTATTCCTGAACCTCCCCTCCCTGCCAACCTCTGGAGTTCAGAGAGGAAAATACTGACTTTGTCTCCTTGCAGATCCAGAGAGACTCTTCATCTGTCATGAGTATGGAGGAATAATTTGTGAGAACAGCTAAGCAACCAAACTATACTTAAAATGACGTGTCTAATTGCTGCTTAACGGCAAAAGCCACAGTGAAATCCATGTTTGTTGGAAGTTTTCTGTGAAGTGCTGGAGGTTTCTCAGCTAACCTGGACCATGTATAGTCAGACTCCTTATATTAAAGTCTGGGAAGCCCAGTACAAATAGTCTCTGGAGTGTGGAAGCAGTAGGGTCTGCGTATGGAAGATCTTGCTGCTGGGCCAGATACCATTCTGTAATGTGTGAAGTATAACACTGACTGCCACTAACAGCCCGTGAAACACACTGGCTGCATGACTGATGGTGTTGCTTTGTCAGCTTTTTGTTGTGTTTCCAGGCCAGCCTGAGTCACTTGCTTTTGTTCCTCTTTCTCTGTTTAAAATGATGAGAAAAATCATTGCTATAGAACTGCAACTTCAGATTTATTTAGATGCATCTTTTAAAGGCCTATCGATTAAGGATAAAAAGAAAATTCTGCTGTTCTCCTTGTTCTGTATATTTGACCTTCTGAAGAGAAGTGACTTACTTCTGGTGTAGTATCTCTTAAACCTGAAGTTACAGTAATCCTTGTGTATTTCTGAAAGCCTTGTTTAAAGAGGAACAGCATCAGAAATGGGAAAGCATTAAGGATAGGAAGTCTGAACTAATGGTTAATTCCCTAAAGCCAACATATGCAGGGTATTTTTCCCTGTCACACGATAAATCTGTTGCCTTGGCCAGTACCCAACCTCATTAGCTCAGTGACTGGCCGGAGCCAAAGCCTGAACGTAGGCAGGCATGAAAGTATTGTGAAGGCCAGAGGCACTCAGGTCAGATCCTGTTCCTGCTTTGATCTCTGACTATTTAGCCCAAGAAAACCACTTCACTTTTCTCTGTTCGTCCTCTTTGGTGCGATGAGCCGGCTGAGACTCGGTAAGCTTGCACCGGGGGAAATGGGCTAAGACAGAAGGGTGCTTTAGTGCCCCTCTTGCCTGTTCTTTAATGCCCGCCAGGATAGAGTATGCTCCCTTGGCATGTAATACTGTTACACACCTGTGTAGCCCTCCTTTTTAATTTCAGCTGGAATTATATGCATTCTGTTACTTAACTAACTTGCAGCCCCTGGATGAATGAAAAATGCCTCTATACTGCTCACACGCAGTCTGGTTATTCCAGGAACAATAGGAGTTTTTTGAGAAAAATCCAGTGTGGAACTTCTTTTCTTAAAAAGGAACTGATTTAACTGATGTTTCTGTGCTGTCCCTCTTCTAAACAGTATTCCAAAAAAACCTTTACCAGTTCATCTGAGGCAAGGAGCTTTACTAAACCCAGATGACCTCTGGTCCACGTGACTTCATTTGTTCCTCTCTTGGCTTTGATTTGGTTGTGGTTTTTACTTCTTCCCTTCCCCACCTTCCCTAAATGTCAGGCTGTGACATAAAATTGCATGCAAGCATTGGGAGCTCTGGAACAAGCTCCATGTATCTCTAAAATCTTTATTCCTCCCAATTCCCCTATCACTTGCCCAGTGATTGATTGTCCCCTTTCCCTTCCCAGTGGAAGTCTGACCTGTGGTATACCTAATCTTGTCCCTTTTGATTTATAGCTATGCATGCACTAGTGATTTTAGTCATGTATGTAGTGTAGTCTGTGACTGGAGAATAACCTGCCTGCTCCTCTCCGATTTCCTCAGTAAATCATTAGTTAAATACTCAATGGTACAAGACAATTGGGAAGCAGGTGAGTCCTCCTAAAATTAGATCTACAGAAGCTAGAATTTATTCTACTTAAACTAAGGTGGTTTTAATCTGAAACTTCTAAATTCAGACACATGGATATTTCTCATCGGTTTTTAAGGTACCTTTGAGTAGCTCACCTGGTTGGACTGTGTTCCTGCTGCTTTGCCTGTGAATTACAGCTGCAGCAAAGTGGAGAGAGGAGCTCCAGCCCTGATAAGGAGCCTGCGTTATCTGGAAAAAGGAACAGGGAGCTGAAAAAGGGAGCAGGGAGCTCATTCTTCACAGTGTGCTAGTTTGGGCACACTGGGCTGTGGTGTTATCACTGACCTCTTAGCTAATGACCAACATCTACCTGACCGAGCTGCTTTCGCTTTACAGCTTTTGGGATGTTGTTTTCCAACATATTTCATTACAAAACTGGCACCGGGGTTCACACTTGGTTACAAAACTGGCACCGTAACCTAGCTACGAGCATTGCAGTCACAGTGATGTTCCACTGGAAAGGAGCAAGAAAAAGAAAATCACAACATGTTGGTCTGTCTGACAATACCAGACCAACTCAGAAATTGCAGATGATACATTTCCCAAAGACAAAAGTGGATCTTATTTACAGAAACAAAACTGGGTGATGTTCTTCCATTTTTATTGTTTGGGTTTTTTTTCCTGTTCCTAAGCTGCAGTAATAGCAATATAAAGGATTTTCTTATAACCTTGAAAACTCTCTCCAGCCACCTTGCAATAGAAGTGAAGGTGGCAACTTTCCATCTACTTTGAGGAAGAACTTCAACCTTTTTTTTTTTTTTTTTTTTTTAAAACACCATTAAGCCGTTAAATTATAAGGTCATTTAAAAGCTGACCATCTCCCTCCACTTAAGCAAGAAATAACAATATCCGTCCCTCATGCATGCAATAAAAAAGACAAAGGTTTTTCAGTAGCAGTATTGCAGCCCTTTGTTTTGTGTCAATTTTTAACAATATAGAAATGTTAAATTATGTATTTGCCTAAAGCGAAGTTGAAAGTGCCAATGTGGTTCATAGCAGGACTTCGGTCTCAAAGTCAGGAGTTCTGGGCTCTGCCCCTGGCCTTGCAGTCTGCTGTATGATACCAGCCAGGCTGCTTCCACTTTCTGTGCTTCTCTTCTTCTCCTGCCTGACATCCGAGGTTTTCTTTTAGCGGGATGCTGGGCTGTAGGGCACAAAGGGAGCTGGATCTTGGGCGCTGTCCCAGCACTTACTGCAGAGCAATGGAAGGTGTCACAATGATCCTGGTGCTGCTGCATGAGTCTTGGCTGACTTCTCATGCTTTTACACAGTGTTGGATGTGCAGTTTTAGCAATGCGGTAATGTGGGCTATTGATACGTGGTTAAAGAGACAAGAAGTTTAACTTCTAATCTCCTTTAGCTGTGGAAAGTCCTGGAATGCTCCTGCCCTGTGTAACAGCACCCTGTTGTGATTTCTGGTGGGCACATATAAAAATATTAAAACCAATTTGGAATGTCTTAGGTATGAAGGAGCTGAAGTTTTCTAGCCATACTTGATTATGGCACCAGTCGCTTAGTGATTAGCTGCTTAACTCTTGGTTCTGTCTCGTTTTTGCAGCTGCAATGTCTTTTGACTGCTTGGGGAGGTAATTCGGTGGCACAGACCTCTAATATGGGTAATACTTAAGGGGGTTTTTTTTTGTCTTTTGTGATCTGGATGAGCAGCATTCTAGGACTATTCTGCTAGCCAAAAAAATATGGGGAGGAGTGGGAGGACAAATTCATTTCTAATAACTTGTCGTGTTTCTCCTGTTCTCCATCGTGTCTCCCACCCTCTCTTTAATGCATCTTTTAAATATACCCCTATTCTTTGGCTGCGTAGCTGCCACGGTGCCTGAGCAACGGACAGTGACGCTTGATGTGGATGTGAATAACCGCACCGACCGTCTGGAGTGGTGCAGTTGTTATTACCATGGCAATTTCTCCCTGAATGCTGCCTTTGAAATCAAGTTACACTGGATGGCGGTGACTGCAGCTGTTCTTTTTGAGATGGTAAGAGTCCTTGTGTTCAGGGTGGCCACAGCAATGCTCGTCTGGCCTCTCTGTCCCTTTTACCACTGGGGATGTTGTCATGTGAAGTTGATGGAAAGTACTGGGGGAGTGACAGTGGGTTGGATCTGCCCCTGTTTCTGTAAGTAATTTTTACTGATGGTTGTTAGCATTGCTGCATCTGGTCATCATTTATCACGTTGTCTATAGTCATTCTGTCTGCAGAACAGTGTTCTGCTTTTACTGGGTTTCCTGCACAGTATGCAGAGATCAGTACAGGTCAAGGTGATATTTAAGTCTGCGTCAGGCAAATCTTAAGCCCTGAGCTGGGTCTTTGGAAAGGAATCTATTTCACGTTGCATTCCTCCTTTCCCCAAACCTGAAAACTTTAAATCTCAGTGGAGCTGCTTTCACGACAGGGCTCTTCCAGGCAATGTGTTCTTCTGGTTCAACAATGCTTTTTGGTTGATTTAAAAAACAAAAACACTACCACCACCACCACCAAAACCAAACAAAAAAACCTCTCAAACTTGCTGAAAACATTTTGCATGGAAAATGGAAACCGTCTGTGTCTTTTTTTATTTAATTTTGGATTTATTTAGTTTTCCCTTTTGTAGCTTCTGTAAAACTCAAATTATTTAACACCAGGTTTTACCCCACCCAGCCAAATAGCACTAGGTGATTGGTTTTGCTTTTATTTAAAATCTATTGCACTGTTCCAGTAAAGCCGCGGTGCTTAGCCACTGATGATAAGTAGGCTGAACCAGTTCCTGAAAAATGTGCTATTTAAAAGTGCTTTCTGATTGATGTAGCACTTAAAAAAGGAAAGCCTGGTGTCTTGTGCTTGTACTGCTTTGCTTACAAGGACGCTTTACAGGCTGCCCAGAGAGGTTGTGGAGTCTCCTTCTCTGGAGACATTCAAAACCCGCCTGGACGCCTTCCTGTGTAACCTCATCTGGGTGTTCCTGCTCCGGCAGGGGGATTGGACTGGATGAGCTTTTGAGGTCCCTTCCAATCCCTAACGTTCTGGGATTCTGTGATTCTGTGCTTGCCATGCAAAGCAAGGGGAGCCTGTGGAGAATTGAGCATGCCTGACCTATTCTCAGGGAATGAGTTGCTCCTATGCACTTAAGTGCCCTTCTTCAGTTTGACATATGTCGCATGATTCATTGTTTGAATCTCTTCTCAGGTTCAAGGTTGGCATCGGAAAGCCACATCCTGTGGTTTCTTGCTAGTTCCAGTCTTGGAAGGCCCATTTGCATTGCCCAGTTACCTGTATGGAGACCCACTCCGAGCTCAGTTGTTCATCCCACTCAATGTTAGCTGCTTGTTGAAGGAGGGCAGTGAGCATTTATTTGATGGTAAGAAATGGTTTTTGTTTTAGCCCTTGGTATACTTTTCTGCAAGCAGGTCCCTTCTGGCATGTAGCTGACATGAAGATCCTCATTTACCAGGCACGAATTAGCTGGATGAAGGGCCTGTTAGTACATTTCAGCAGCCACCCTCAGGAAGGTGGTGCTCGGAGGAAGCTGTGCTGGCAGGGTAATCAGCACGCAGCAGTGTATGAAGTTGGCAGCAAGAAGTACCAAGGCACAGGAAAAGTGGTCTCTCCAGTGATCTTTGTTGCCATGTTACATACCCTTATAGAACCTATATCAAGTAGTTACTCTGTTTGACATGATGTTGTACTGTAAGAGTCTGTTTTACTGGTAGATTATGCCCGCAGCTGCTCTGCATTTGTATCTTGCATTTGTTTATTCTCCCCCTCAGTAAGATTTGGCTTTCGTGACCGCCATCCTCTTTTTTTTTTGTTGCCATGGTTACGTTCATGGTAAGAGTGTTTGCACATGAGATTAAGAGCTAGAAACTGCAATCTCCTTTTTTGCAATGTGACCTCGCCCCTCTGAATGACGCTGTTGTGGTAAGTCTCAGGTGGGAGCTTAGAGATCGGAGAGCTCTGTCCCCATGCAGAGAGGGGCAAAATTGCATCGTGAGAAGGGACAATTAGCAGAAGGCTCTGTTTTAAAATAGCAAAGATGATAGTTTTCTTTATTTTCATTAACCCTTGACCCAATGTCCAGGTGTAAATGTAAAACAATCGATGACAAATCCATATGCTGTGAGGTCACCGTAGCCCACCATCACTGACCTTTGAACTAAGTATTTTCAGAGCACTCTGTGGTGATACACAGCAGCCCACTCTCCTTCCTTGCCCCCTCCCAAACACCCCATTATGTTTCTTTCCATTGTGAGAGACAAAACTGACAACTTCAGGGATGAATCTGCTACTGGCCTGTCCACACTTCTAATAAGATGGCATTCAAGGGACAGCTGACAGAAAAAATTGTGACTAAAATAAATTACTAGAAAAAACAAAGTACACAGAGGTGTTCTGAGGAAATCTGAAGTCTTGAAAAAGAAGGAAATAAAGTGCCTTGACTATGTAATTGTTACCTTTTTGTTTGTTCCAGGCTTTGAACCTGAAACATACTGGGACCGTATGCACCTTCTCCAGGAAGCAATAGCGTACAGGTGTGTACAGAGCTGAACCACTGAGAGGTTCCTATCTCCCAGGGTAATGTAGGATGGAGACCTGTGCTGAACAATTACTCCTGAGTTATGTGGGACTGTGCTGTCTGCCTCTCTGAAGTCTGCTAGCAGATTTAGACTAAAATACAACTAGAATGCCTGGAGGTGGTTCTGTGGCTGAAAGGGGCAGGTAAATGGTGTTTCAGCCATCATCACTCATTAGCAAACCATACTTTCCTCCTTGGGAGGGCATTGCCTTTGGAAGGTGCCCTGTTATTCTAAGTTGGAAGCAGATAGACTCTAAATAGATTTATTTCTGAGAAGGGACAGCTATTTCCTTCACGTTTAATTAACGGTCTTGAACTGGATGACATGCAGTGACTGCCAATAGGCAGGAGACTGAAGTGTGAGCTGTACATAGGAGGTTAGGCCCAGTTTAGGAAGGAATTGTTGGAAACTTAGAGTGCTATCTAGCCTTACCTCTTTGCATGCCTGAGCTGCCGGTTTGTTTCATGATGTTGCTGCCAAGGTCTTTTTCACATCAGAGAGGCTGCCATTTGTAACGGGCTTAAGCTTGGAAATATGTTTTCATTAGCTTAAAAAGCAGGAGAGGAACAAGTGTTTTACAAACAGCAAAGAACCGTCAGGTGAGCTGCTTGAAGTTCTGCGTGCAATATTGCCCACCATGAAAAAATGATGTTATAGCTTGAAACGTACCCAAGGAATGTCTGTCTTGACTATTGCTCTTCCCTCATTCCTGTGCAGCTGCCCCATTTTGTCAGAGGCTGCTCAGTGCCCTCCCTGAGCTACCGGTGCTCTCGTTTCCAGCACGAGTTAGAACGGAGATCAGTGTGGAGTTACAACCTTTCACACTGTGCCTAGCAGGGGTGGGGAATATTTGGAGAAGCTCAGCTCTCTTCATCTTTTTTCTTCTTGCCTTCAGGCCATAAGAAAAGGGAGCCTTTGTGATAGTGGGAGGTTTTCACTGGTGCCTCTGCCTTGGGCTGAAGGAATCTTCGCTGGATTGCCTCTTTTTTTAAAAAAAAATTAATTCTCCTGGTGTCTGTTTCTCCAGATTTGGATTTGTGCAAGATAAATATTCGGCCTCTGCGTTCAACTTCCCAGCCGAGAACAAGCCCCAGTATATCCATGTTACAGGTGAGCAATATTTGGCAGGCACTAGGGCAAGGAGGAGGCTATAGCAAACAAAAGAACCATTTCACACGCGGTTTGTGTTTTGTGTCAGTGATGTTGGTCCTCATTATGTCCCTAGTCAAACGACAAGTAGGTGTCTCAGCCAGCACAAACCAGAAAACTGGAGAGGCAATATGGAAAGTTAATCAGTGGCACTGGCTTGAAATCATCTTCAGGATCCACTTGTCCTCACTATTATTCTTCATAAATGTTGGTCATCTATCAGCACTTCTAGCTAAGCTCCATACATGGCATATTGCAGTAAAATAGCTTAGTATGTTCAGAGGGGTTGCTGAGACATGAAGACAATGATGAGAAGAGAGCTTTTGGAAAATGGAAGTTGATGTACAGTCAGAAAAGGGATCAGAGCCTACAGCTTTGCCTCCTTCCCTTCTGCCAAGAGAAAGGCAAGACTAAGGGTGCTCTCGCCCAGTGTTGCAATTTGCAGGAAGTAGCATGTAAAAGCGAAGGAGGAAAAGTGTATCCCATTTTATCTTGCTGAAAGGCAATTAAGTGAAACTCACTCCAGTTTCCTTTTCAGAATTTAATGAGTTGGCTACCAGTTGTAGGGACTTAGGTCTGCCTAAGACTAAAGTCCTGTCTGTTTCCTCCAGGGACAGTGTTTTTGCAGCTACCTTATTCCAAGCGGAAGTTTTCTTGTGGGCAGCAGCGACGCCGGCGGAACTCCACTAGCTCCACCAACCAGAACATGTTTTGTGAAGAGCGCATTGGCTACAACTGGGCCTACAACACCATGCTGACGAAAACGTGGCGGTCCAGTGCCACTGGGGATGAGAAGTTTGCTGATCGGCTGCTGAAAGACTTTACAGACTTTTGCTGGAACAAAGATAGCCGGCTTGTTTTGTTCTGGACTGACTGTCTAGATAAGATGCATGCTAGTGCTCCATAAAACAGGGTTGTATCTCTTTCGGAGATAGCAAAAAGCTTTACCTTGTGGCAAGGAAGTAGAGGTGAAGGATGACTGGAAAAGAGCCTCTCTGTTGGATTTGTCTCGAGGCTCCAAGAGGACCTGATCAGTATTGCTGTTGATATTCAACAGAATTTGATTAAGCTCTTGGAAAAAGAGTCTGAGCTCTTGGCTTGCCAATATCTATCACCTGACCTCAGCTTGGTTTTAAGTAGCTGCCGTCCCTGATTGCCAAAACTTCAGTTAGAGCAGAGGTAAAAGAGGGAGAGTGCAAATGGTTTTCAAGGGCAGTTCGATTCAGCACAGAGTGTGAAGGTAGCGGCTTACCGTCACTGGAAATGATTGGTGCCACTCGCATCTGATGTGCCTGACAGCAGCCTGCCTCGTGCCCTTTTGAGGTGTACCTGGTTGTGTGAATATGTAACATAAAATGTGAGAGACGCTTGTTAGATTTCATACATGTAAATAAGTAAAAATGCAGAAAACCTAGTGACCTGATGTTTTGTTGTAATTCCAGACAGCAATACAGAATTGGGGAGTGAAGGAGAGTAATTGCCAAAAGGAAATACTGCTTCTTATGTCCAGCATGATAATGAAATGCTTCAAGTTCACTGGTGGGGTTTTGTCCTTTAAGCATCCAGGACTTTCTGTCTCCAGCTCTGGACCTGGAACAGTGTCATGCAGCAGGAGCAAGAAGCCAGCTCTCCTGCGAGGCCAGCACCCATGCCTCAGGAGAAATCAAGGGCAACTGAACACAAGGTGCTGCTGGTTAGAGGAACAAAGGGGATTTATGAGCAGATTTTTAGGATGTGACTGCGTGCAGCAAAACGTGGATGCCTATGCTCAAGTATGTTGTCTTTGTCTCTGCAGAGAGGGGTTGCATATGGCGCGTGGCCTTGGCACGAGCCGGTGATTTAAGTGCGGATTCAGGGCAGGTTCGTGACCCGCACTCCATAGCTGTGCGTGGGGGGCTGTTGGCTCCTGCCGTGAGATGGTTACTATTGTTATCTGTCCTTGCTAAGCTGCAGGCAGCAGAGGGCTGACACATTCACAGTGGTGTTCAGACCTGGTTCAAGGGAAAATCATAGCTGCTTCAGTTTTATCCCCTAAACTGAGTCTGAATGACTCATCTGTAATTAGACAGCACCCCCCAGAAAAGGTGGGTTTGAGCTGCACGCCTTTTCATTCAGCTCATCTGAGTGTGTCTAAGTCTGTCGGAATTATCAGTGCGTGCTTGCTCCCCATTAACATCTTAAAAAATACTCTACTATGAAAGCAACCCGCTGCCATCTCTTCTGCACGGTTTTACTACGAAGGCAGCTGTGCAGGCCTCAGTTGCTTCGCCAGAGCCCGGGGAGGGGGCGGGGGCAGGAGCAGGGG